CTGGGAGGGGGCCATGGACACCACAGACAGGCCTGGAAGCCACAGTCCTAAGGCCCGGTTCTCCCAGACCCAGGAAGCCCTCCCTCCCTCTGCAGGACTCAGCTTCCCACTGTGGTCCTGGCCAGCTGGCCTCAGGGAGTGAAAGCCCAGGCAGGACCCACCCTCTCTGCCTCCCCGAGGGGCCCAAATGGGTCCACAGAGGACCACTCCAGGGGAGGAACCTAGGGACAGGGACCAGGCCCCCGGTAGAGGGGAAGAGGGCAGGAGGTCCCCTTCCAGGAGAGGAGCAGGTCTGACCTAGGCTGGCCTGGTCCCTATCTGGGTGGCTCAGATGGCAGGGGAGGGTCTGGGGTCTGGAAGAGCTCTGAGTCTGACCAGCAGCAGTGCGAGGTCCTCAGCTGTCCCCTTGCCAGGACTACTGGGCACAGACGGTGACACAGGCACTACGGGTAAGCTGGGCCCTGGAGACCACCCTGCTCTGAGCACAAGCAAGACAAGGAGCTTTCTGGAGACAAAAACTTCCTTTCCTCCAGAAGTGCTGCTGGTTTTGCTTTTGGTGGGTGAGCCTTTAGTACCTTCTGAGGCTGACCCCTTCTCTTGGCCCTACACAGAAAGAAGAAGGGCAAAGTTGTCACCACCACACAAACAGCATATCCATCTGGACGGGAGCCTAACCCTGAGATATTGCATCCAGGTGGTGACGTGGTGCAAGTAAGGCCACTGGGGGGACAGTCTTGGGGAAATGGGGGCATCCAAAGGGAGGGTACATCCCTGGGGGAGGTAGGAGCCCCAGGTAAGAGAGTGACAGAGTCACCAAGGGCCCAAGGGCTCTCCTGGCCCAGGGTGCAGACAGCGCCACCCACTGGACTTCAAGCCCTGGGCCAGCTGGGCACGTGGGCCAGAGGACAAGGGGCAACAGCCAACACAAGGCTGTGTGGTGAACCTGCTCCCCAAGGCATGCCAGGCCCAGGGGTGGGACCTGTGGACAGTGGCAGGAGGAGGGGCTCCTGAGTGACCCCACGTAGGGGGAGGGCACATAGAGCCACAGGAACTCTCAGCACTGCCACTTTGCCAGACAGTCTAGCACCTGCTTACAAAGCTACAGACCCAACCAGACCCAAATGTGCTTAGAGATGTTTCCCTAGCTGCTTTCAAAACTCATGTCCACAAAAAAAAAAAAAAAAAAAGGGCCAGGTGCAATGGCTCACACCTGTAATCCTAGCACTCTTGGGCACTCTGGGGGCCCAAGGCAGGTGGATTGCCTGAGCTCACGGGTTCCAGACCAGCCTGAGCAAGAGCGAGCCCTCATCTCTAAAAATAGCAGAGCACTGTGGCAGGCACCTATAGTCCCAGCTACTCGGGAGGCTGAAGCAAGAGAATCACTTCAGCCCAAGAGTTTGAGGTTGCTGTGACACCATGGCACTTTACCAAGAGTGACATAGTAAGACTGTCTCAAAAAAAAAAGAGCAAAAACTCCATCTCTCTTAAAAATAGAAAAGTTAGCCAGGTGTCATGACAGATGCCTGTATGTAGTTCCAACTACTTGGGAGGCTGAGGCAAGAGGATCACTTGAGACCTACTGTCTGAGGTTGCTGTAAGCTGTGACGCCACTGAGTCTACCCAGGGTGACAGAGTGAGACTGTCCCTTCAAAAAACTCAAGTCCCTGACAATCTGCATGCCACTGTCACTGCTTTGTACATAACTGTGGAAAAGTGTAAGCAGCCAAGATGACCCAGGAGAGCAAGATAAGCACAGGATGGTGCACCCAGGACAAAACACAGAGCTTTGATAAGAGGAAATGCCCTCACCAGACAGGGCAAGGAGTGCCCGCAACTGCAATTTGCTACTACTTCAAAGAAGCCAGATCCTGCCAGGGACAGCTCACAGAGGCCAGGGTTCAGGCCAGCAAGGTAGGCAGAACCTGACAGGACCCACCTTGGAGGAGCTTCCAGGAGCCTCCTGCCTGCTGACAAGTCTCTCCCGGGAAGCTGAAGGACCTCATCTGACTCAGCCTCAGGTCTCGCCCCACACAAAGGGGGCCCCTGCACTTAAGACTATGGCACCACCTCAGCCTGCTGCCCCCATAGACCCCCTTCCCACTCACCTTGATGACACGGGACTCATACATCCCAGACAGCAGACGCATGCTACTCAAAGCTGCATCTGCAGCAAATTTCACAAAGCTAAGGCCCCTGTACCCAAGGGTGTAGGAGGGAAGTATGCCGAACAGACCCTGGCCAGCCCCAGGGCAGCACTCAGAGTCTACCTGAGCCCCCACTCCAACCCCACCAAGCAAGAGGGAGGAGTGCAGACCAGGCATAGTGGGCTGGCCAGGGCAACAGAGTCCTCCTAGGTACCAAGCTGCCCCAGACAGACACATACCAGCAAGAGCAGCGAGCACATGTCCCAGCCAGGGCATCCCTCCTTGTCTCTTGTGCACAGCTGGGCCCCAGAGGAATCCACATCCTCTAGGGTTGGTATCAAAGGCAACAGGGTGTAGGCCCTGACCCCTCCCAGGGAGCCCTTCTCACTGATGCTACCCATCCACGGACTGCCTCCTGAACCCCACGTTTAAAATAAGGGAAGTCTTGGGCCTCCTTGTCCTGGCCTGGGCTGTCCCAGACAGGAACCTGCACCCTCCAGTGGGCTCCAGCCCCAGGTCCCCTCCTGAGTCACCATGAATATGATGACTATTCATATGTCATTGGGCCTATGAATGGTGAGGAGTACCAGCACCCCCAGCTCTTCTCCCTGGGCCTTCCTCCTCTCCTCTGCTCTCAGAAGCAGTGGGGCCCCAAGGCAATTGGGCATATGGGCAAGACCCTTCCCATACCCTCACTCATCATCCTCCCTTGAAGGCCTGGGGCAGATGGGACCTGTCTGTGAGAGCTGATGCTGTGCCTTCCCCCAAAAGCAGAGGCCCTCACTCCTAGCACCCTTCAGGAGTATCAGGAGAGCAGCCCTGAGCCAGGGAATAGGGAGAATCAAGTGTTCCAGACAAACAAAATCAAGGAGCGAGCACAGGCAGGACCCCTGACCAAAGCCAGCCTAGAGATCAAGGGAGTGTGACCAGGCCAGTCCTGGCATGGAGCAGAAGGTGACACCATGGTGGAGACAGACTCCACGTTAGGTGCCAAGAGGTCCAGGGGAACATGACAGTCACTCCCATCCGAGTTCTGAGTCAGGGCTGAAGCCCAGGAGGAACAGCTCTGCAGTGACGGTATGAGGCAGGATGACCCCTCCCGGCCCAGAGCAGCCTAAGAGGCCAGATGGCTCCTCAGCCCCAGGGAGACACATCCCTCACTCTGGAATCAGCTGCCTGCAGAGAGGGCCACGCAGGGACCACAAGGACCCCAGCCCTACAAGGGCCAGACAGGCTGGGAAGAAATTAACTAAGCTGACTCTCCAGCCACCCTTAGCAGAGGACTATCCTGGGGGGTCCTGGGCCTGGGGCCAGTGTGCGGCAGCACCCAAAGCCCCCAAAGGGATGGCCTGGCCCTTCCTAGCCCGGCAGTCATGGGCAGCCCCCAACTCAGCCCGCTGCACCTCCCCAACCCTTGCCTGGCTGCGCTGTCCCCAGGCCAAGGCCCAGTGACATGAGGGATTCTGCAGAGCCCTGAGCAGCAGGCCTCTTACTGGGGGCCTTAGGAATTCAGGCTGTGGCCAGTCAGTCCCCAGTACCTGACAGACCACAGGTGATTTGGAGATCCCTTCAATGGGCATTAATGCCTAAACCTGGTACATCTGGATGTTGAGGGGCCCCTGATTTCCTCTTTATAACCTGGAGCAGGATAGCTGGTCACCTGCCCCTTCCGCATCTGCGCTGGTCACCCTCAGGACCACAGGTCAAGACTCTCCCACCCAATTTGGGGCCCATCACAAGGCCCTGCCCAGCCCACAGAATCCCCAAAGGCAGAACCAGGGTCACCCCCATCATGGTGGGGCCTGTTGTCTGTCTGCCCTTGGGGGTCAGTGACCAACACATCCCAATAAGAGCCAGGACAAGCCTGCAGCAATCTGCCCTGCAGCCCCCAATGGTCCCTCAGCCTGGGCACATCTCTCTGGACCACAAAGATGGTCACCTGCAGAACGCTGGAGAAGTAGGTGAGCATAGGGTTCTCCCCTGCTCCGCACAGGGAGCAGTGTCCCCTGCCTTGTCCAGCTGGCCAACCCCTGGGGCAGAAACCCACTCCCAGGAAAACAAGTCCCCAAGCTAGAGGCTCCCAGCCCAGCCTAAAGTCAAGCCCTGGAATGGGAGAGGCACCAGGGTTGACAAAGGTCCCCCAGCAGCCAGGATAACCACAAAGGGACCCCAGGCCCCTAGGGACCTAGGAATTCCTGGCAATCGGCTCAAAGCAGAGTCAGTCCTGTGGGGGATGTGTGTGGGTAGCAGGGACTGCCCCATCTGCCAAGGCAGTGTCTAGGAACTGCCAAGCCTTCAACACCAACTGGTCCCCATGGTGAGGGTAGGGCAGAGGCATGAGAAGCACCCCCCTAACTCCACCCACAGGAGGCAGCTGGAGTGGACAGGCTCCCTTGCCAAGTGGCCTTCTCCTAGCCATTAACAGGGCCCTGCCTTTCAGGTTGGAAAAGTGCTCCCACCGGAGACAGGAGAAAACAGGACAGCTGTGTGCATCAGAGGCCAGGTCCCAAGGTCTTCCCACCTCAGCTTAGCATGCCTTGGGGGAAAAAGCCAGGAAAAGCATCACCACTACAAAGAGTCTAAGAAGGTCTCCCTCTGCACCTAAAACTCCCCACTTGGTTAAAAATAAATAAATCTGCCATTGTCCCTGTCCATTGCTTTGGCACCCACAGCTGTTTGCAAAAAGCACTGGGCACCTGAGGCAGGAGCGGAGGGAGTTGCTGAGCCCAGGCCCTGACCTCTTCTCTCTTGGAAAAGGCCAAAGCCAGCCGAGGGCAGGACAGAGCCAAGCTCCCGGTATGCCTGCCATACAGCTGGCCACATGAATGCTCTTCCCGCCTTGCAGACACCAGGGTCTACCATCCAATAATTTACTGCAATTCCACCTAGGCCCACAGGGGCCTGCAGAGGGCTGGGGGCGCAGAGGACTGGGGTTCCGGCGGCATTTGGGCTGTTTATGGCAGTCTCTGCAAAGCGTCCCTGGGAGGGTCTGGGTCACCTCTGTCCACCATCCCTGGTTGGCCAAGCTCTGGCGACACATCCTTCCTTCCTTCCCTTTTCCTTCCTTCCATCTGCGCTTCCTCCCTGCATCCGGCACCTCCATGTCCTCAGCCAGGGCTGGGGCGGGGCACAAAGGATGTCTGCTGATTGCAGGCCAGGGGACCAACAGAGCCAGAAGGCTCTGGGGTCGTGAGAGTGGGCGCAGTGGCCACCCGGCTTCCAGGCGCCCGCCTCTCCTGCTGTCAGGACAGCACACACTTGCAGCTCATGCAGCCCGGGCCACTGTCGTCAGGCGGATTCAGCTTCCGCAGCTTGTGCTGCCGAATCTCACGCACCAGCGTGTAGAAGGCATCTTCCACGCCCTGGGAGAGGAGAGACCAGGTCATGGCAACGCAGCCTGGGAGCCTGGCAGGGAAGGAGACCTGAGGTCCCAGTCTGAGTGAGGGGATCCCTGCTGACGGCTTGGGCAGAAGCCCCTGAGGCTCTCAGACTCCACCAACCCCAAGTGCACAAACACAAAGCTGACCACTGCTCATCTTGACACACCCAGGGCCACCGGCACTGGGCAGGCACAACTCTGCAGCAGCCCCTCAGGAGTCAGGGTGGCTCAGGACCCTGCTGGACTCCAGCTCTGGCTCAGGGATTGAACACCCTGTACCCAACACTTGTCTGATCTATGGTCCAAGTCTTGTTTGCTCCCAGTAGCCCCATTAAAGGCTCAGGATCAACAGATGCCCATAGAATGCTCTGGGGACAAGAGGGGTCGGGCCCCAGGGTCACCGCTCCGGCCTGGCTCAGGGCAGCTCTCTCCAGGGACCTCCACCTCCCCTGGTGCTGTGTCAGCCCAGGACTGCAGGGCGTGAGCCCAGACCCCGGCCCTCCCCTGCCGTCTGGGGAGACTTACAGCGCGAGGGGCCGCTGGGTCACATGGGTCCCGGGGGGGTCCCAGAGGGTCCCGGAGCTGGAGCCAGAGCCAGAGCGGCTGCCCTGTGTCAAGGGAGAGGGCAATGAGCACTGCTCCCTGCCTGGGGCGGGGCGGGGTGAATCCCTGGCTAGCCAAGGGGCGGGGAACCGGCTCACCTGCCGGGTCTTGGCCGAAGTCTCAATGTAGGGGAGGCTGTAGCTTCGGGCAAGGTCCTGGGCCTGCCGAGACTCCACGGTGCGGGCAGCCAGGTCACACTTATTCCCCACCAATACCATGGGCACATCGTCTGAATCCTTAACCCGCTTGATCTGCTCCCTGAGAGGGGGAAGGTGTGAGCTGGCTGGCAGGCTGCACACATGGTTGCATCCAAGACATGCAGAGAGAGGGCAAGGGGCCCTCGTGCAGGCACAGTAGCCTCCCTGCCCCACCTGTGCCATGGCTATTGGGCCGGCCACACAGGTGGCTCACCTGTACTGATGAATGTCCTCAAATGACTTGGTATTGTTAATGGCGAACACACAGAGAAAACCCTCTCCAGTGCGCATATACTGGTCCCGCATGGCGCTGTACTCCTCCTGGCCCGCCGTGTCCAGGATATCCAGCAGACATGTTTCTCCATCAATAACCACCTGTTTCCGATATGAGTCCTACAAGAGAACACAGACTTTCCTTAACAGAGAGTTCACAGTACCGGCCCTCCCTTATACCTCTCTGCACCTTCTCCTAGGCTACAAGGATTCGAGGGTATTCCCTCTGGAGGAGGCAGTCACCACGAAAAGTCTGGCTGTGTGGATCCCTGGCCACCTGGGCCCTGGCCTGGGTCCTGCCCAAAGCAGCTATACGAAACCTGGGAGAGTCATTGGGCTCACCTCTATGGTGGGGTCGTACTCATCCACAAAGTGGTTCTGGATCAGCTGGATGGTCAGGGCACTTTTCCCCACACCCCCGGCACCCACCACCACAAGCTTGTATTCTGTCATGGCTCCTCAGGGGGTTACAGCCAGCACCGCAGGGTCTCCTGCCCCACCTGCCAGAGAGAACAGTGCTCAGCCAGGGCCAGACCTACAGGGAACGGCACCCAGCTCCATGAGCCCCAGGAGGGCAGCCCAGATGCTTACCTGCGACACCTTCAAACTACGGAAGGGGAGGGTGCCCCCAACTCGCCCCCAACTCACCCCCAACTGCACTTACTGACTGTGGGAGAAAAATCAGGAGCCAACCCCCAAAGGCAGGGCTGACAGCTGAGCGCTCCTCCCAACCACGCGCCCAAATTAGAAGTTGCTGGGTAGGCAGAAAGCCTAAAGTGGAGGCGCCCCAGGGCTGAGGTTACCAGTCACCCCTCAGAACAGGTCTAGCAGAAGTGGCATGCCACAGCGCGCCCAGGCAGGCCAGGCCTGTGCCAACCAGCAACCAGCTCTGGGCCCCATCAGGAGTGTTGGTGAACCAACAAGTATTCACTGGGTGCCTACTGAATGCCTGCTGCATCCAGGGGAGGGGGCAGAGCGCAGTGAGACAGATCCCCTACCCTCCTTGGCTCAGTATACACTCCTGAGGTCCTTACAACAAGGGAGACCCAGAATACTCTTCAACTTGAAAAGATCCATGGAAAATAAAGGGGTAGGGGCGGCTGGGAAGCAGACGCTGATGGACAGAAAATACATGGAGGAGGTGCAGGAGTGGGGAGGCTCAGAGAGGAGGCGGCCCACAGCGGAGCCCCGACTTGCGATGCCCATCACGGGATGCCCGGTGCATTCTGGCCGCGACCCCCTCCGCCCCAGCCGCTCCTGGCCGTGATGGCCGCCGGCCTACGCTCTTCCGAGGGCGCCCAGGACTCTGTACAGGGGCCTGGGCTGGGGGACCTATTGCTGGACCCCGCGTACGGAGCCGGGGACACGGAGCCTAAAGGGGTGGGCGGGCGAGACAGCTAGGACGCCCCGGGCCCCGCCCCGCCCGCCGCGGCGCAGCCCCCGACGTTGCAGCGCCCCGCCCGGAGAGGCTCACCTGCGCCCCCGCCCGCCCGCGGCCTCCGAGTGGCGGCCAGCTAGAGGCACAACTCGCCCTGCTCACCCACCGCCGCCCCCACCAGCCCCCGCCCTCCGCACTCCCTACCCCGGGCCTTGGTCCGCTGGGAGGCTGCTGTCCGACCGACCCCTGCCCGCACTCACCGCTCACCGGCGCGACTGCCCCAGTGGCCGGGACCGGGGCCAGGGCGGGGGCAGGGGTGGGGGCTGAGGCTCTCGGCTGGCCCCACGCATGGGATCCGAACGCGGCGGGTGCGGCTCCGGCTGCGGGAGCAGGACGCGGGCAGCTGGGACTAGACAGGGCCCTCACATACCCCGCCCCGCGCCCGTCCGTCAGCCCAGCGTGACATCCCATTGGCCGCGCTCGACCAAGCCCCACCCCAGGACCGCCCCGCCCCGTTCCTCTCTGGTTGGTTAAGCGGCCCGTCAGTCGTGAGCCGAGGCCGGGCGGGGCTTCCGGGAATGGTGAAGTCTAGTGGGGTTGGGCTAGGCCAGGATTTGGAACCTAGTCCGGGGGTGCTGGATGAGAACAGCGGACAGGTGCGGCTTCTCCGCACTCTTCTCAGAGCATGGCAGACTCGCCTGGCCGGCCTCTGAGCCCCGCGCAGTCACAGCCGCGCCCACGCCACCAAGGCCTTCCTGGGCGGGGCTGCGCTGCGCAACTCACTGCGGACGCCCTAGGGCTGAGGACCGAAGAAAGGCTGAGGGTCTACCGGCCGACTTCTGGAGCTGCGCACCCCCGGATAGCTGCCGGGGCCAGCTGTCTAGCCCTCGTGCCCTACAGGTGCAGCAGAAGCAGAGCATCCCGGCCCAGGACTGCCCACGTGCCACTCCACCGCACCATCCGGCCGCCCCGCAGTTTTAGCGGGGTCTGGGGCCGGGCACCCCTCGCTCCGGGCTTCTCCCCTCCCGGGCCAGGTTTCAGCCCACTTTCCCCCGCACACTCTCCCACAGCTCGGGCCAGCACCGCAGACACCCCCTCGGCCTCCCAGAGGAGCCGAGGTGTAGACCCCGCAAAAGGTCGACGCTGCCCCATGAACAAATCCGTGCCCACGAGTCCGACCTAGAAGTTGCCGTGGAAGGCTGAGGCTAGATCTACCCCAACCCAAGCACAAACATGTAGTCTTGTCTTCTCTCCGACTCAGAACGACACGTCTTAGACATCAGTCTAAAATTCCAAGCAGAGCATAAATACATCCTCATTTAATACATCCTCATCCTGTCGCGGTCAGGCTCGGTCCTCCAGTGCCCTTCCGCCGCTGAGCACTCCACCCGCTAGGCTCGTCCCGGTGCGGTCGCAGCGTCCCATTTGCTCTGCGCCCACAGGGCGGCCGGGACAAGAGCCGGCTCCGGGCGGCCAAGAGACGGGCAAAGCCAGCCATGCGTCCCCGCGGGCCCAACTGGCCTCCAAGTCGGTCTAAGGCTGCGCTCCTCGGATGCGCTCTGGCGCCGGCCACACCTCCGAGCCTCCCACCTGGGAAAGCTGTGCACCAGGTTCTAGCACAGGCCGCCTTCGCGAGCCCCGCGGGCAGCGCCCGGATCACGGGTAAAAGCGATCAAGTCGCAAGGGGGCGTCACCTGGCCGGCTGTGCACCCCCCACCCCGCATGAGGGCGCCCCTGGTCCCGCCGAGCTTCAAGGAGGTTCCTAAGGGGCGTGGTTCAGTCCCATCCAGCTGAGAGTCCCAGGGCTTATGAATATTTATGTATTCAAATAAGTTCCCCGCCCACGTTGCCATGGCACCCGGGCCCGCAACCCCGCGGCCGGAAGAACAGCCCGGAGTCGGAGAGAGAGCCCGGCGGGCAGCGCAGCCACCGGGCCCTGACCCCAGGCCCGGGCATCCGGGCCGAACGCTCAGGTGAAGGCCGAGTGCACCTTCGGGTCAGGGGCCGCAAGCCTCGCTCTTTTCTCTCGTGCCGGGGGGAACCTGAGCCAAGGGGTCGGCGCCGGGATGAAGTGACTGAACCGGTGGGCTGTGCCCTGAAGGGGCTCCCAGTCAGGGGTCATGAGAGGCCCTAAGCCCTGTCCTTGCCGGGAGAGGTAAAGGGACCAGACTGTTCTGGGGGATTCTCAGGCGGAGGCGATGAAGCTTGCCAGTGGGCTCAGGCCATGCCACGGACGCCAGGGGCAGTGTCTGACTGGGGGTCTAATAGGGACTTTGGAGCTCGCAGCTTCCAAATCCTGGGCCTTGGACGCCAAGGCCTTTGGGCCCAGACCAGACATATTGTGGGCCTAGCACTGAGCAGGACCTTGGGCCAGCTGCTCTCAGGCATAGAGTATAGAGGGTGGTGGGCTGGGCATCTGGGGGCTACCTGTCACCGCAACCAGCTCATACCCTTCCTGAGGCTGTCAGGCCTGGGGTAGTCTGAGGAACACAGTGGGGACCTCCTCTTGTGAGGCTTGGGGCAGCAGGGGTGATGGAAAGTCCACCAACTCCTCGCTGGGCCTTACCTTCCCTGATCTTCTGTGTGTGGTCACTTTCCAGACCAAGCCACTGAGGCACATGGAGCCAAAGTGGCTTGTCCATGGTCCAATACTCCCTCCCACCACCTCCATCAAACTGAGCTGACACTCCCAAGCCCAGGGCAACACTGTAGACAAGGTGGAAAGGCTGAATCTTGAACATCCACAGATGGTTAATAGATGATAAGCACCCTGATGGACATGCGAACTGGCTACAGGTGCATCTGCTATATTCAAGGATGCTTTTGGCAAACACATGCCTGCTGCTATGCTCAGCAGGCAGCTCCCTGTTCACATGCTCAACCTCATAGGGATATGAAGAAGCTCAGTGTGATCAAGAAATCTGGTACCAGGTGCAGTGGCTCATGCCTACATTCCTGTACTCTGGGGAGGCCGAAGTAGGTGGATCCCTTGAGCTTAGGAGTTCAAGACCAGCCTAAGCAAGAGCAAGACTCTGTTTGTACTAAGAATAGAAAAACTAGCCAGTTTGGGGGGTGGGTTCCTGTAGTCCCATCTCCTTGGGAGGCTGAAGCAAGAAGATTGCTTGAGCCCAGGAGTTTGAGGTTGTTTAAGCTATGACACCATGGCACTCTACTCAGAATGACAGAGTGAAACTCTGTCTCAAAAAAAAAAGAAAGGAAATCTGGGAAGGGAGAAGGTGTGGGAGGAAAGGGGTGGCTGAGGCCCAGCCTGAGGACAGAGGAAAGGGACCAGAGAGGAAGGTACTAGACATCCTGGGAAGACTTGTGACTCTACTGTGTTTCCCCAAAAATAAGACTGACCTGCCCAAAAAATAAGCCCTAGCAGGATTTCTATGTATTTGCTAAATATAAGCCCTACTCTGATAATAAGACCTAGTCATGGGCATGGCTATGCAGTATATGTGTATAGCCACGCCATGCATTTCAGCACGGAGGAAAACATCCCCTGAAAATAAGCCCTAGTGTGTCTTCTTGAGAAAAAATAAATATAAGACAGTGTCTTATTTTCGGGGAAACACGGTACACCCAGAAATCATTAGATTCTAGGGGCCAGGCCAGGTAAAAACATCTGTGGCTTTAAGGACCAAAACCAGGTGAGCCTGTTGCAGGTGGCCCACACTGGACAACCTCCAGGGGCCTTGGGGAGGGTTCTAGAGGGACAGGGGTATAGGAGAGGCCAGGTCCAGGGGACCCTTTCAAAGACAGAGGAAAGTGGGCTTTAGCTGAGTACCAAACATTTGCAGTGGGGGACTCAGACCCCAGCATTGGCCACATATCTGTCTCTATCTCCCTTCTCATTATCTGGGCCGAGTCTCTCTAGTCAGGATAGTCAGGCCCCCACCACACATACTTGCTCACTTCTGGCTCAACCTCAATATGACCTCAGCCCCATCTATTCCACATGTTCCTGGACACAGTGACAGGCCAGCATCACTCTCTTGCAGGTACTACCTGAGGATACATGCCACCTCCTTGCCCAGATGTTTGACCCACAACAGAAGACAGCTGTCTGCAGGTGAGAGGCTTCAGCTGGTGCACAGGTATGGTAAGAAGAGTGCCTGGCATTCCTAGGCTCAGAGACCATCAAAAGGGAAAGGACCCACAGGGCCGGAGTCCCAGCCCTTGTGGAGCCTCCCATGAGGCAGCCAAGAGCCAGCATTCCTGAAGGATGGGGAGGCATGCAGAGAAGATATCCTGCCCAGGCACAGGGTTCCAAACCAAGGAGGGAGGTAAGGGGGTGAGGCCCTGCAGGCTTAGCTAAGTGGACGAGGGTGCCATCAGGCCAGGGTGGGGGCCAGGAGCCTGCTGTGTGCAGGGGCATGTTGAGGGCTGTGACAGGGTGTTGGCTGGGCTGCAGATCAGAGTAGCAGATGCTTTAGCAGCTTTATCCTCTGCCTCATCCAGCAGGTTAGTTGTGAATGGACCCAGCCTGGGACAGATCCCTCGGGCCTCGGCCAAGCACAGCCAGCATCCGGGTACGGGAGCTGGGCTGGCAGGGCCTGCACAACCCCTGCCCACAGAGGAAGGGCCGAGGCAGCCATGGGGGCAGCCGCAAAGAACGGCTGGTGGAGCAGTACTTGTCCCCTGCCCGACTGGTAAGTGCAAAGCTGGGACCATGGCCACAAGCACCTTCAAGGGGTGATATCCAACCTGTCCTCAGCCCCTACCACTCCTAGTCTCCTTGAGGTCATCCTCAGCCCAGACCCCAAAGCACCAGAAGCCCCAGGTGCTTGGTGACCCAGATGTCCACAGGCATTTGGTCCCAGATAGGACTAAGCCAGACCAGGATCCCACAAGTGTCTGCTGAGCACCAGAGAGGAGGCCTTTCACTCCAGGGGGGCAAAAGTTAAAGCTGAGGGCACCCAAAACAAAAGTGCCAAGGGAGAAAGGAAACCCCCAACCAAGGAAGGAGCCCAGGTCTGTAGCTCCCAGGGTGGCTCCTGCCTACACAGTCTGGCGCTAGCCTTTGCCTGGGCCAGGGGCTCCTCTTAACTGCAGGTTCTCATCCTGGACCACCTTGCAGCTCTCTCATCAGGGCTCTGCCTGTCCCCTTTTGGCTGCTCTGGCGAGAGGACCCTGCTGGGTATTGGCACTGCCCAGGCCCTCCTTCCCATACTGGCCACATTCAGAGCTCACACTGCCCAGCAAAGTGTCCACTAATGTGGGGCAGAGAGTGACCAGGATCCTAGGAGAGAATGATTTCACATATCCTAGAAGGACTTTTCCAGGAGGCCCAGGCAGGCTGTACACTGTGAGTTACAGTGAGTCTTGGCAGGCTCAGTGCTGCTCAGGTGGCCTGGCTCCAGGCTCCAGGCTCCAGGCACAGTAGGAGTTCCAAAAGTCTCATTGGAGACTGGCAGCCCCAGGGCAGTGGTCCATCCAGCCAAGCACAGCCACAACATCTGATCATGTCCCATCCACTCAGAGTCCACTAGCCATGCCATCCATGGCCAAGGTCAACATGGCTAATGCAGAGAAATCGCCATTCCCTGCTCCTGCAGGAGCCTTACAAGGTTCTATGGCCAAAAGCATGGACATAACTGGAAGGGCTTGCCATCCAGGACCATGGCTGACTCCTGGTTGGTTTCTGCAGCAGGACCTGGCCCAGGTGGATGACCTTCAACTGGTACGGGTGCTGGAGATGTGTGTGGACACCCAAGAGGGCAGCCTGGGGAACTTCGGTGAGCCCACACCCACACCCCACCTCTGCTACACCAGGCTGCCCTCTAGAACAACCCACATCTTTCTGGTTGTAGAAATAGTACTGCCTGAACATTTGGGGGGCAGTATGTCTGTGTCCTCAGAATTGACCCCTGAACATGACATTTGAGCACCAGGTGCTTCTGAAACTTATTTTGAAACAATCTTGAACTTAACAAAAAAAGCTCACATACTCTTTTTTTTTTTTTTTTTGAGGCGGAGCCTCAAGCTATCCCCCTGGGTAGAATGCCATGGCATCACGCTCACAGCAACCTCCAACTCCTGGGCTCAAGCGAGTCTCCTGCCTCAGGCTCCCAAGTAGCTGGGACTACAGGTGCCCGCCACAGCGCCTGGCCATTTTTTAGTTGCAGCCATCATTGTTGTTTGGTGGGCCCAGGCTGGGGATTTGAACCCGCCACCTTAGGTGTATGTGGCTGGTGCCTTAGCCGCTTGAGCCACAGGCGCCGAGCCAGCTCACATACTCTTACCAGATTCTTCATCATTCACGCTTGCCACATCTGGATATCATTCAATCTCTACACTCACACTCAGGTGCACACACACTCACAGTCACTCTTGTGCATACTCACTACACATACACTGTACACTCACACACATATTCACTCTCACACATACTCACTGCACACACACTCACACACTCACACACATTTTCCTGAGCTGTTTCAGCGGTTCTTAACCTGAATTCGCAACCCAAAGAAATTGTATTAAAGGGCCACGGTATTAGGAAGGTTGAGAACCGCTGTGTTAGTTGCAGACACAACACCCGTTCATCCCTTGACCCTTCAGTGTGTAGTTCCTGAGGGAGGGCCACCTCCTAAACACAGCACAAGGGTCCAAGTCAGGACACACACATGGTGCATGACCCCTACTGCAGACCATATTCAAATTCACCAGCTGTCCCAACTATCCTTTAGAGCAGGGAGGAGCCTTCCCATCCAGGGTCATTGTGAGCTGTTTGCATTCCTGATTACAATCAGGTTAAGCAGGTCCTCTTGGTTGGTCTTCTTTTCTGTTTCACAATTGCCTATTAAGTCCTTGACCACTGAGTTTGGCTACTCTGCACCGATGAGGTCACTCTAGCCCTTCCTATCAGGCCTGGTGTGGGCCACCTCTTCCCATGGCCGCCCTATGCCTCCTCTTTCACCACGCAGGGACTCTGTGTCAGAGGACCAGTGCCCTAACTTTCAAAGTACTCAGCTCTCAGAGCCTTTCATTGAGGCTTTCAGCCACACAGGGACACCAGCTGGGGTGTCACAGTGACTGGGTACCATGCTGCCTACTGACGAGGTGCTTAGGGTGCTTGTGGGCCATGGGAGGTAGCTCTAGGGAGGGCCTAGGCTTTGGCCCCAGAGAGCACTGGCCCCACCTATGCCAGCCTACTCCTTTCTCTAAGCTAATGCAGCTGTCCGATGGCCTCCTGGCCTTTAGGGACAGCCTGTGCCATCCTACTGCTCGGTGCCTCTTCCAGACCCTGCTTCATTCAGGCCAGGCTGCAGACGTGAGGCATGTGGCTGTGAGGTTGCCAGGGGCTCCAGGCAGCTGGGCCCAACTCTGCCAGCAGGCCCTGCAGAGCCCAGCCCATGGTGGCCGGAGGAGGCCACAGTCCCTGGAGCAGCCCCACAGAGCCACCCCGTCCCTGCAGTGCTGTCCAGCCAACAGCACTGACACCTGTGGAAGATATAAATGACCCTCCCTTTGCGGCCCACAGGGGTACACCTGCCCAACCTGAGCCAGCTAAAGCTGAATGGCAGCCGCCTAGGCTCCCTCAGGTAAGTGCCTCCAGGTGGGTCCTGCAGGGATGCAGAGGACTGTGTGGTGGGTAACCGAGGGCCTCAAGGGCCTAGAGAGCCATCCTGTTGGTTGCTTCTTGGAGTCTGGCCTGACCCACATGACCCTGCGGAGGGCAGGTGCAACTCCCTCTCAGGTATGGGGGTTGTCTCTCTGGGGCAGGCTCCCTCCTAGGTGGCTCTTTGTTGAGTGAAAGAGGTCCTGGGCCAGCCTGGGACACCAATCATCCTGCCCCCTGATGTCCTGAGGTCTCTGGCTTCTGTCCTAATGTACCCACAGCTCTTGTTGTGCCTATCAGCGGGAGGGATAGACAAGGAGCTGGGGTCAGGGTCAGGGTGGTCATGCCGGGCTGTGTGGCCAACAAACCTGAAAAGGGCTCACTGACCTCAGACAAAAAGACCCCAAAACGAACCACAGCACAGGGGCTTCTACCACCCTCCACCTCTCCCTGCAGCCCAGGCTATTGGCCACACAGTGAGTCTAGGAGCCAGGGACGGGGTGGTCAGGTGCTCCCCCCACAGCAAGAAGAGCAGGTGGACACCAGCTCCAGGCTGAACCTTCCCGTGGAACCAATGCCAACCACAGACCCCATGTAAAACTCAAGTCCCCTGAAACAGGGGCTTAACCGCTGAGAAAGCTCAGCGCTCTCATGCCCAGTCATCTAATAATTAAGAGACAACACTGCAAACTGAAGGCAGGTTAATGGTTTTTGTTTATCTCACTGGACTGAAAAGAACAAAGCTAAAGGAGTATCAGACCTCATTTTTGGACAATTTTGGAAAGCAGGTTTCATGAAAACACTGACAATTTTCTGTAGCCTAGGCCTGGCAGCAAAAGGAGGGAAAACCCAGTCAAAATTCAAGAAAATTCCCCAGTTATTTGAGTTGACCTCCAAGCACTGCACCCAGAGATTTCCAGATGCAGATAAAGGCATTTATTAAGCAACTTCACCTTAAATGTTTTCTCAATTTTCCTTATTTACACTTGTGTTTATCAAATAAATATCACAAGGAATTTAATAAAACATGAAGATCCAGAAGTGGGGACGGCACCTGTGGCTCAAGGAGTAGACGCCAGCCCCATATGCTAAGGGTGGCAGGTTCAAACCCAGCCCCAGCCAAAAAACTGCAAAAAAAAAAAAAGATCCAGAAGTGGAACTAAAGATAGTATGGAGATTCTGGCCCTCAGGGGGTGGCCAAAGAACTAGGGCACAGAGCTGCTGGTTACTTAAAGTGACACTCAATGTCTTTTTTTTTTTTTTTTTTTTTGCAGTTTTTGACTAGGGCTGAGTTTGAACCTGCCACCTCCAGCATATGGGGCCAGTGCCCTACTCCTTTGAGCCACAGGCACTACCCTCCTTTTTCTTTTTTTTTTTTTTAGAGACAGAGCCTCACTTTATTGCCCTCGGTAGAGTGCTGTGGCATCACGGCTCACAGCGACCTCCAACTCCTGGGCTTAGGCAATCCTCTCGCCTCAGCCTCCCAAGTAGCTGAGACTACAGGTGCCCACCACAATGCCTGGCTATTTTTTTTTTTGGTACAGACAGAGTTTTACTTTATTGCCCACGGTAGAGTGGGTGATAGCACAGCTCACAGCAAACTCCAACTCCTGGGCTTTGGTGATTCCTTTGCCTCAGCCTCCCAAGTAGCTGGGACTACAGGCCACAACACCCGGCTATTTTTTTGTTGCAGTTTGGCCGGGGCCAGGTTTGAACCTGCCACTCTTGGTATATGGGGCTGGCGCCCTACCCACTGAGCCATAGGCACAGCCTGACACCCAATGTCCTAACAAAGACGTCTGTTCTTCAACTTAACTAAGGAGCAGGAGCCAGTCTCAGTGGCTCACCCCTGTAATCCTACTGCTCTGGGAGGCCGAGGCAGGTAAATTGCTTGAGCTCATAAGTTCAAGACCAGCCTGAGCAAAAAGCAAGACCCCCCCCCCCACCGTTGTACTAAAAAAAATAGAAAAACTGAGGCAAGAGGATTGCTTGAGCCCAAGAGTGAGAGGCTGCTTTGAACTATGATGCCACAACACTCTACCCAGGGTGATAGCTTGAGACTGTCGCAAAAAAAAAAAACTAACCAAGGAGCCATATCTCCATTGTAAAGGCCAACAACAAATTAGCACAAAGAACAATAAAAATATATTAAAAGCACATAAAATTAAATTAAGGATTAAAATATAAAAGAAGTAATTATAAAATTAAGAAGTATGATACACTATTTGTAACAAAACAAAATAATTCTCAGGCAAAATGATTAATAAGGTTTATAAAAGTATACTTAGTCTTTAGTAATGACAGCAAAATAGGTCATTAAATCCTGAAATTTGGGCAAATTATGTTTACAAAAATTTGTAAAAGGAAACTAATTAAGGCCAGGTGAGGTGGCTTAGGCCTATAATCCTGGCACTCTAGGAGACCAAGAGTGGGAAGATCACTTGAGCTCAGGAGTTGGAGACCAACCTAAACAAGAGTGAGACCCCATCTCTACTAAAATTAGAAAAACTAGCCAGGCATTGTGATGGGGACCTGTAGTCCCAGCTACTCTTAGAGGCTGAGGCAGGAGGATCACTTGAACCCAGGAGGTTGAGGTTACTATGAGCTGGGCTGAGGCCACAGCACTCTAGCCTAAGAGACAGAGTGATACTTTGTTTCACAAAAAAAAAGAAAGAAAGAAACTAATTAAATAGGACAATTCAATGAACTACTTGGCTTATCACAAAGATATTAAATATAATAGGTGTATTACAAAGGCTTGGAAATAATTTTAATGTGGTGTCTATCAGTTCATCAGAAGCTGAGAATTCAGCCCCCAAAAATATCACTGATGTGAAGAGAAATGTTCTGTTCTTTCTTTCTTTCCTTTCTTGAAAGAGAGTTTCACTCTGTCAACCTGAGTGAGGTTGGCATCATAGAGTGCTATGGCATCATTGCTTACAGCAACCTCAAGCTACTGGGCTCAAGCGAACCTCTTGCCTCAGCCTCTCTAGTAGCTGGGATTGCAGGCACCTGCCACAAAATTTGGCTATTGTTAGAGACAGGCATTCGCTCTTGCTCAGGCTGATCTTGAACACCTGAGCGCAGGTGATCCGCCCACCTCTCCCTCCCAAATGTTCTAAACCAGTGGTTCTCGACCTTCCTAATGCCACAAGCCTTTAATATAGTTCCTGTGGGTCGCGACCCACAGGTTGAGAACTGCTGTTCTAAACGCACAGGCTGGAGTTGCCAAATGGTCCCTGGCTCCTAGGTAGAGGCGCTGAAGGTGGGCATGCTCCACATTGAACCAAGACTCTGGCACAGAAAATCACTCTCATGATCTCTAAAGCTCAACAAGTATCTGTTAAAATACTGCATGGACAGCTTCTGACAACTTAATTGCTTGCATTTCTCACATTACCAGGGATGTGGAGCCTTGTACTGTACAACCTGTGCTTATTGTTCAGGGGCGTCTGTCCTTTCTGGTTGATTTCTAGTTCTTAGTGGATTCTGGTGTATTTTAGACTTTGCAAGACTTCACTCAGTTCCTATCTACTCTGGGTGTCCTTTAGCTAACCAGACCCTGCATTTTGGTCTGTCTCCATCTGTCAGTGCTGGCCAACACCTTGAATGCTATTTAGGAAGCCAGTCCACACCGAAGGCCACAGGGACAGCCCTCTTTTCTATTTGCTTCATGGTCTCCCTTCTTACTTGTCAGGCCTCTTGCCCAACCTACCTGCAAAGTCACCTTCAGTTGGTGCACGAGGAGGGGACCGGACTTTACTTTCCACCATGTAGTGACCGAGCATGCTGTCATTTCCCTACCAGTTCTGGTTCCATCTCTGTTGTTCACCAGGTCCACAAATGCATGTGGATATGTGCTGGGCTGGCACTGACTCCCTCAGCTCAGCTCTGTCAGGTGTGTTTGCAGCTGATTCCCTTCTCTTCACTGTCCTTTTCCCAAGCTGACCTGGCTGTTTCTGAACTCACATATTCCTGCATTTGAATTTCACAGTAAACTTGTTGGGTTTTATTTTTTTTTAACTTTTATTTATTTATTTTTTTTAGAAATGGTGTCACTCTGTCACCAGACTGGGGTGCAGTGGCACTGTCACAACTCACTGCAGCCTCCAACTTCTGGGCCTCCTGAGTTTCTGGCCACCACCATGCTCAGCTCTCAAGTCAAGTTGTCTTTATGGTTTTCTTGGGGGGGGGTTTTGAGACAGAGTCTCACTATGTCACCCTGGGTAGAGTGCTGTGGCGTCACAGCTCACAGCAACTTCAAACTCTTGGGCTTAAGCAATTGTCTTGCCTCAGCCTCCCAAGTAGCTTGGACTACAGGCGCCTGCCACAATACCTGCCTATTTTTTGTTGCCTATGGCTGGCTCGCTGTGGCCTGACAGACCTGGATGGCATCAGCTCCTTCCCAGCACTGTTGTTTGGCAGTCCCGGACCCAGGCTCAAACTTGCCAGCCTCAGTGTATGTGGCTGGCGCCCTACTCACTGAGCTACAGTCGCAGAGCCATCTTTGTTTTTGTTTTTGTTTTGAGACAGAGTCTTGCTCTGTTGCCCTGGGTAGAGTGCTGTGACGTCACAGCTCATAGCAACCTCAAACTCTTGGGCTTAAGAGATCATCCTGCCTCAGCCTCCCGTGTAGCTGATACTACAGGCACCCACCACAATGCCCAGCTAGTTTTTCTATTTTTATTAGAGACGGGGTCTTGCTCTGGCTCAGACTCCTGAGCTCAAGCAATCCACTCACTTAAGCTCCCAGAGTGCTGGGATTACAGGTGTGAGCCACCGTGACTGGCTCAAATTGTGTTTTAAGGACCAAAAAAGTGAAGGACTCCTCTGATAGCACAGAAACAGTGGAGGGAGGAGGCAGCAAGACAATGCCTGTGCAGCCAGGGGCAAAGAAGCCTGACCCGCCACACCAGGTGCACAGCTGCCTGAGCACAGAGGCAGCCCCCACTGCCCGAGTTGGAGATCAGGGAGTTCTTGTCAGCTGCTCCTGATGAAACCAGGACACATCATTCCAGACAATTAAGAGATGACCAGAGAAGCCATTCCAGGCAGTGGATGGGGGCAAACTCTGGGTCTAAGTATTGGAAGGACAGACTAAAGCACATACTGGGCTGAGGGCAGCAGAATGAAGCAGAAAACCTCACTGGACAGGCTAAAGAGCAAGATGGGACACAAGCCATGGGGGCTGGTGAACTGGAGGTGTGCTGCCAGTGTTACCCAGTCCTGGAGAGGTCTGCCGTTGCTGTGGAAAGCCTGAAACCTGAGGGGGTGTTTTCCCAAGACAGAAGTGCAGGGACAAGGGTGACAGCATCAGACAGAAGGGCAGCCTTCTGCCCCTTATGCACTTCAGGGACCTGGGGAGGCCCATGTGGCTGCAGAGAGGTCACACAAAAGAGACACAGTGGGAACACGGAGACATCAAGGCACCCAGATCTAGCACCAGCTACAGCTACTAGTTCCACCAAACTAGCCAGCTCACCACCTGCCCCCAAACCCCCGCCACACCAGCCTCCCCAGTGGCTCTGGCTTCCAAGTAGCGTCAGATGCTTGGTCCAACTGGAATGCTCAGGAACCTGCTTGCAGCATAATTAGCAACACTGTGATACCTGCAGGATGAGGCAAGAGCAGCAGGCAGGGCCAAGCTGTCCACCAAGAAGGCAGCCCCAGCCTGGCCCTCCAAGGGTTGGCAAAGGTGGAGGACATTCTCCCTGTGCCAGAGACCAGCAGGCTGCTGCAATGAGGGAAGACCAAGAACCCCTTCCTCAGCTAGAGGCCACCATAGGACCTGCACCTGGAGGCAGCTGCATTCAAGTGGTGGCGGGGCTCCCACATGGGCATAGGGCCCTTCCTGACCACCCAACCTGTCTCCCGCAGGGACCTGGGGACCTCTCTGGGCTGCCTGCAGGTGCTATGGCTGGCTCGCTGTGGCCTGACAGACCTGGATGGCATCAGCTCCTTCCCAGCACTGAAGGTGGGTGTGGGTGCCATGGGTGGGGCGAGGGGTGGCCTGGGCTGGCTGGCCCTGACTAAAAGACCCCCGCTGCCTAGGAGCTCTATGTCTCCTACAATAACATCTCTGACCTGAGCCCACTGTGCCTGCTGGAGCAGCTGGAGGTACTAGACCTGGAGGGCAACAGCGTGGAGGACCTGGGGCAGGTGCGCTACTTGCAGCTGTGCCCACGACTGGCCACACTCTCCCTGGAGGGGAATCTGGTGTGCCTGCGGCCGGCCCCTGGCCCCTCTGCAAAGGTGTGTGTGTGCAGGAAGGGAGGGACCTGTGGCTCTGGTGGCTGGGCCTTCTCATGGGCCAGTGGCCTTTGTGCCAACCTGCATCCTGGGGCTTGTTCACCATGAGCACCCCTTTCTCTTTGATCCAACTACTGGTGCATTCTCCGGAGCCAACCTCCATCCCCCAGGGCTACATGCATGCAGGCCATGTCCCTCAGCATATGTGTGCTCCCCAAGACGTCCACAGACATGCCACCTGCCACCCACAGACTCCTGCACACAAACATGCCTGTGCATGCCCTGCATGGGAACATACTTGTGTACCGTCATGGGCCCACACATGCCCTGCTGAGCATTGACACATGTGTAGCACGCAGACCCATACACCCTTGATGGTTAATGCCCTGCCCTGCCCCTTGGTAGGCCTGGGGGATGGAGCCAGGCCTGCCACCGCTCACCCTCCACTCTGCAGGCACCCAGGGACTACAACTACAGGGCAGAGGTGAAGAAGCTTGTGCCCCAGCTGCAGGTACTAGACGAGGTGCCGGCCACTTGCCAGGGCCTACCAGCAGCCCTGAAGCTGACCCAGGACTGGCTCATGGTGAAGGAGGCCATCCAGAAGGGCAGCATCCTCCCCTGGCTGGGTAGGCTGAAGGCTCCCCTCTGAGTCCTGCCCATCCCCACTGCAGAGGAGGTCTCTACCAGCCCCCTAGGGGAGAGGTCACCACCCCAGCCTCCTAGGCCTTCAGAGACAAGGGGGCCACATCTCACACCTGCCCCCAGCCTTAGTGGCCTGTGGTCTGCAGAATTGCAAACATCACCCACAGGCCAGGACATGGTCCCTGTGAGCAGCACCTGGTGGGTGAGGAGTGAGCATGGAGGTTTCTCTGAAAGAGAGGAACATCAGAGGCCAGCCCTGGGGCACACTGTCTAGGCATCCAGGCCCTGGTCTGTGGGAGTCTAGGGTGGGCCCCCGGGATGGCCACTGGCCCCAGCCTCAGTGACCTCTGATTCTGACTCTCAGCAGATCGTCCCCATGGAGCCCCCATGCAGAGACCCAACCCTGAGCTGTCCCTTCCTGAGACACATCCCCTGGCCCCCAGGCCCTGGCCCTTCTCCCTGCTGATCCCTAGGGGCCCTCGGCCTCAAAGCCTGCTTTCTGAGGACCCAGCCCCAGGAGACAACGCCAGCAGCCTCACTCATGGTAACTGACCTGCCCTAGCCTAAAGCTCACTCTGCAGCCCCTTTACACAAACCAGGCCCAGCCACACCATCTTCCTCAGGTGCTGGCCAAGTCCTCTGTGGAAACCCCATCAAAGGCCTGCGAGAGCGTAAACACCAGTGCCAGGTATGCCCTCCCCTCTCCAGTGGGCCCAGGCTCCAGCCTCCATGGCAGCTCAGCACCCCAGGGCTCCTGCCCTGACAGTGGCCTGCCCTGTGGCCATTCCAGGCTTGGGTTTTCCAAGACATCCCTTTTCCTCCTCAGGCCTGGGTACCCCCGGAGCAGCTGCCTCCACATAGGCCGGATCTGGACACTAGCACCTCCACCCTAGGGCCTGACCCTGCAGACAGTTGTGACCTTCTGGACTTGGCCAGGCTTCGGGCCTGGCAGGAGCTGGGCCCACGGTGGGTGCCCCTGCCTTCCCACCCTGTGTGTCCTGTCTGGTGTGGATTGATTGGGACTGGAGGGTGCACTGGCTAAGCTGTCACTGGTCCCCATGATGGCCAGAAGAGCTGGTCATGGGAGCCCAAGGCTAGTGGGTCCTCCTGGAGTCCCCCACTAATTTCAGATTGGCTCCAAGAAGGGACAGGGCTACAGCTTCTCCTCCCCCCACCCTACTCTTCTTCCCCCATAGGCACCCAGAGTTTCAGCAGAAAGAGGTTACAGGCCCCCGGGGCCCACGAAGGGTCCCTGAAGAACAAGAGGACCAGGCTGAGCCCAAGACTCCCTGCAGCCCTCTGAGCTTGGCCTCAGGTAAGACTGCCCATCTAACTCCAGTGCCTTGAGAGTGAACCCCAAACCCCAACTCAGTGTGGGGCCCCACCTCAGATCCAGAGAAGCCAGCCTGGAACTCCCTTCTTCAGCTGTCTCTGAGAGAGTCTAACAGGAAGGCACTCTCCTGGGGTTGGGCTTATAGCCTAAGAAAGCCAATCCCAAGTCTCTCCTTCCCCCATGCATGAGAACAGCATTTGGCATTCCAGAAAAGAGGTCTAGACCGGAAGGGTGGAGGGTGATCTGGACCAAAAAAATGAGCCATGCTAGGTGCGTAAGCTGGGGCAAGCATGCTGGCAGGCAGGACATGCCCGTTGGGTAGTTCTCAGGGGGCAGGCATAGGCCTCAGTGGGAGAAAGGCCTCCAGGCCCACTGGAAATCAAGGGAGGGCACCACCACACACCCAAAGACATGACCTGTGGCTGGGCTTGGAGACATAGGATTAAGCCAGGACCCTCTCCTGAGGACACTGGCTTCAGAGTGAACACAGATACAAGGCAGAAGGGCTCTTACCAGGCATGGTGGGCCTGCTTGGGGAGGAGCACTGCAAGCAGGCAGGGGGGCCATGTGCTGGCTGGTGTCTGGAGAGGGGGCAGAGAAGTGGGCTGTCTAGGGGGCAAGGACTGTAGGGCAGAGGCAGTGCAGGCAGGGTACCTGCAGCAGGGTGGTGGAAGCAGAGCTGCTGGAGCAGTGGCGAGGCATGGCTCAGGCCCCTGTGCCAGATGCCAGGCCAGAGGGCACTGGAAGGCCAGGACCAACTGCCCTATGAATGGCAGAGCCTTCCTCTATAGTGGAGGTTTAAGAACTGACCAGGGACCAACAGCCTGTGACCAGGCACTCAGGGACAGGACCCTGGTGACCCAAAGCCAGAGCCCAGGCCTGTGGCTTCTTTGCTTGATGGAGGTGGGCTGGGGGGCCCACCACATCCCCAGGCTTCAGACCTCTTCCACCTGTTAAGCCTTTTGTCTGACAACCTTTTGGATATGCTGTCCCTTTCTTTGTTTCTAGAGCCTTCCAGGACCTTGAGCTTCCACCTGACTCCTTCTCCTCCCAAATGCCCAATGCCACCTGATTCAGGCAGCAGCTCCCCCTGGGGATCTGCAGACCTGCCCTCCAGGGGACACGCACTCAGAGCCTTGAGCAGCCTGAGGCCTAGCCTGGGTGAGGGGCCTGGCCTGGGCGAGGGGGTGGCTGCAATGACTGCCCTGAGAGCCCTGGAGGTGGCCTCAAGCCTCAGCCCTCGAGCACAGGTATGTCCAGGTCCAAAGTCAGCACCAGATCCAGCACCAAGACACCCAGGCCTCCGGTATCGGCGGCACCTGAACCCTGTCGCTCAGTCGCACCGTTAGTGCACACATAACCACCCCCCTCCACTGCCAAGCTTGCCTGGACTAGGGCCAAGGATCTCATGTGGTCTTCCAACCCTATGTGGACTCTGGCCTCACCAGACCAGAGCATCTGGGCTGCTGTGTTGGGGGGTGGGAAGTGAGTGTGGCCCTGGAGAGGACCCTCCTAGTAGAGGACAGTGGGAGCTTGGGACTAGCTAAGGGGGCACAGAGCCCAGGTTAGGACCCAGGCTTGGGTTTAGCCTGGATAAGAAGAGTCCAATCCCCATCCTTCCTTGGGGCCAGGCTTCCCGGAGGAACAGCCCTGGAGCCAGGCCTGTCAGATAGCTGGGGCCAGAGCCCAAGTATCCGGAACTGGGGGTGGGCCCTTCGAGAACCCTCCAATTGTCCGTGGGTCCAAGGTGTTTGCACTAGACCGCTCAGGGTGTATCCGGGCCTCCCAACCTTGGGGGATCTGTGGGGTTCTCACGCAGGCGTGGGGCAGCCAATTCCCTCCTCTGGGGGCAGGATGGAAATCATTGTCAACTCTCAGCTGTACAGAATGTGGTTTACTTTGTAGGCAACGTTGGTTCAATAAATTATGCAGCTGGCAGTACCTGCCTAGCCCCACACACTCCCTCTGCTGTCCTCTCCCGAGCCCCTACACCCGTCGGAACGCGTCCACAGTGACCGGCAGGGAGCTGAGAAAGCGGAAGCCGTATCTGCTCTCTGCAGTGCGCTGTACTGACAGCGCCACCATCGGGCAGCTCCGATCCACGCTCTTCCGGCACACCTGTAGCGCTGGGCCCTGAGAGTGCGCCAGGCGGGACAAGGGAGGAGAGAGGAGGGACTGAGAGTTCAGAGGAGGGAGCTGGGTCGGGTGGGGCCGGGATGGGGAGGAGCCGACGGATGGGGTGAGGAAGGGAGGAGCAAGCAAAAGTATGGGCAGAGTGGGGAGGAGCGGGAGGAGCCCGGGAAGACCCGGAGCTAGCGGGGCAGGGAAGGGAGAGCAGCAGGCAGACCGCGGGTAAGCTAGGGAGGAGCCTGGCGGGGCAGGGACGCGCCGGGCGGAAACCCGGCGTCCAGCACACTCGCGCGCACTCACCTGGACCTTGAGCTCTTTCCGGACCTGGCAGTCCTCGGGGCCCGGCCCGGCCTCTGAGTGGGACAGCGATGCATTGGGTCAGGCAGCCGCGCCACCCGGCCTGCCCGCCCCTCCCTCCGCGCCCCGCGCGCGCACCTGGGATGGCAGGCAGGAGCTCCAGCGTCTTGGGCTTTGCGCCCTCCGGCCGCCCTAGTGCCTCCCGCGGGTGGAAGAACTTGCCGGTGCTCAGAAGCGGCAAGATGTCCCGCGTCCTGGTGGAAAGAGGGCGTCGTGAGGGCCGCACCCGGCCCACGGAAAGGCGGGACCCGGCCTGGGGAGGCGGAGGGGGTTGAGGGGCGTCTGCATAACTGGGGGACCGAAACTGGCAGGAGCGGGAGCTAGAGAGGTGGGTGGTGGTTCTAGACTGTCCCGACCTAGGAAGTGGCCCTGGCAGAGGCAGGGCCCAGGAGGGAGTCGAGGACGGTCCCCACCCTGGCCTCCTCCAGCGACCGACCCGGGCCTTGCGCGGGGATCGAGGGCGGCGTGGCTTCTCGCGCATCTGGATGCTGGGGTGAACCTCAGAGAGCGGGAAGCAATCGATGGACAAGTCGGTGTTGTCGGCAAAGATGTCCGAGATCGGGGTCACATAGTGTGGGATCCGGTACTCACTGAGGACCTGCAGGGCGGTGGGTCACCCTCATCCCCTGAGGCCCACCCAGCCTTCCCCCAGGGGGCTCCCGCACTGACTTCGCCCATGGGGTTCAGAAGGAGCGTCACACATCCCTTGCTGGAGTGGAAGTGGACAGGCTCGTAGCCGGAGGACAAGCGCGGCTGCTTCTTGGCGCTGCTGGAACCCTCGCCCCATACCTGGAACAGCGCGGGGCGGCGAGTGAGGGGCGGCAAGAACCCTAGCTAGAAAGCAGCCGGCGCGTGGAGCCACACGGGACCACACAGGCTCTCGGGGACCAGAGCGCACCGTGACATGGTGCTGCGGCGCCAGCAGTGTGCCCGACGGGAAGCGGTACATGCACACCGGGAAGTCGCACACCAGCTGCTTCAGCACGAGGCCGCCCAGGTCGGCTGTCCCCTCCAGCGACTGGTTGAGAATGCGAACAAACTTCTCTCGGCGGCTCACAGCCACAATCTTCAGGCTGCAGTAGGGCGGGCTGGGACGCGGAGGGGCGCTGGGCCAAGACTCTGTGAGACCTCCCCCCGCCTAGACAGCTGCCCACCCCTGGGAGGAGAGACTTGGGTCGCCCCCTCACCTCTGCTGGGGCACTGGGTCGTTGGGGTCTCTGTGGGGCTGGAGCACCAGGACTGTCTTGCTGGGCTGATCTGAGTGGCTTTCCTGGAAATCTAGGGAGAGGAGCCCTTTCGGGGAGGGGGACCTCCATATGGGGCATATGTCCCCTATGAGGCCAGACTAGGCTTGCAGCCCCTGTGGGTGGGCATGGGAAGCGAGCAGGACCATGAGTCAGATCCCCAACAGAAGGGGTGACTGGACCCTGTGGGCAGAAAAACAGTCTCAAGGCACAGATCTGGGAGGTGGGCAAAAGATACAAGGGAAACAGGCCCTACTCCACCTTCCAGACCCAAGGATGAGTCTCTGCTGAAGCTCCTGGCCGTGGGCGGGTGCCCTATCACCTTCTGCACACGGAAAGGCATGCCCAGCAGGCTGCTGCTGGAGTCAGAGTTGGCACCCCCTGAGCTGCTGGTGCCCATCCAGGGCAGGGAGCTCCATTCGACACTCTTGTGACACCCTTCCACATGCCTGTCAGGGGACTCCAAGCTCAACTGGTCCAGCGATGAGGGTGTCTGGGGCTGCCTATGGGCCATGCTTTGCTGACTGCCTGCTCAGGCTCTGAGCCCCCAGCACTCCTCCCACCTAGCCTCCCCAGGGGAGTGGGTCACCCCTGGTTGTGCCCAGACCCCTTTCCCTTCATCCTAACCCATTTTATAGATCAGAGAACTGAGGCTTGGATGGTTTAAGCGACTCACCAGGAACAACATGGACCTAGATTACATCTACCAAAGCAAGCCTTCCCTTCCCCTAACCTCAGGGAGTCCCCACCCAGTGCTATTACTTGTGCCCGGAGCTGGATTCCATGTTGGTGAAGAGGTTGGGGTACCGTTGGGCGATGCTGTTCCAGTCTACATCCTCCAACCGGAAACCCTAGCCAGGAAGCAAAAGGCACATGGCCATCCTCTCCTGTAGATTTCCAGAGCCCTGACCACACTCATGGAGAGCCTAGCTTACCTCCCCAACAGCAGGGGACTGGTCATCAGAGAGGTCACTGGGGTCCATTAGGGTCTCTGCAGTCACTACCTGCAAGAGAGGACTGGAGGTCAGGGGGCAAGGGCTGGGGGAAAGGGTACCCCTCCCCCCAAATACCAGCTGGGTGGGACCATAGGCGGCATGCTTCTTCAGTGCCAGAGACCAGACAGTCCCAGAGGCAGCCTGATTGGTGGGGGGCAGGCTTCCACGTAGGTCAGGGCACCCCAGCACCAGCACCTGATGGGAGGGGACTCACTACCTGCCCAGACCAAGGGAGTGTGTGGGAAGCAGGAGAGAGGATGGGTGGGCTCACCTCCACACTACCAGTCTGGGACCGCAGCATCCGGCCCACCCAGGAGGACTGGGCCAACTTCAAGAGGCAGGATTTCTTGAAGGTCTCTAACTCAGCCTCCAGCTGCTGCATTGTGTGCCTGGCCTGCAGAAGCTGCTCTTCCAGGTCTTCTTTCTCCTACTCCAGGAGGGCCCATGGGTGAGGGAGGCCTTTTGCAGACTCTCTAGCCCCAGCCTGGCTTACCCTAGCAGTACTCTGCCCACCCTCCTTACCCTACCCCCTCACCCTCTGGGCTTGTTCCTTCTGCTCTTTTAGCTCCAAGGACAGCTTCTGGATCTGATTCTGCAAGAACTTTTCCTGACTGCAGGAGCTCCTAGGAGAGGGCAATCTCAGCAGCCCTCACCTCTGGGTTGAGCAGGGGCTTGGGAGGTTGGATCAGGAGTCAAGGAGGGGAGAAGGAGGAGCCCCACTGCCATCTTAGTCCAAGGGCACATTGTACTACAGGGCAGGACAGGCTCTGACAAGTCTGGACAGGGGTCATGCTGAGGGGGGCAATGTTAACTTACTCAAGGTCAGGCCCAGGACCAGGCTTAGCAGTTGGCATTGAGGTCAAAGAGAAACAAAGAGCTAGGGCTAGGGTAGGGGCTAGGTTGGGCTGGGAGCTTTGCTGCTGACCTCTCAGTGGGGAGTCCCACCACCTCCTGCAGAATGCGACAGTGCTGGGCACTCTGGCCATTTTGGATGGCCCACCGCAAGGCCTGGATCTCCAGCTCTCGCTGCTCCCACAGCAGCCTCAGGGTGCAGGGGTCTAAAGACTCTGGGACCACCCTGCAATACCAGCATCCCTGCTGTGTGAACAGGTCTGGCCCTGCCCAGGAGGCTGACCACCCTTCCCTCCCCTCCTTACTGCATCTTGACAGAATGGACCACCCGTGTGGGGTGAGGGTCGGTGTCCTGCAGGTGCATGGGAACTGCAGGGTCTGCAGGTGTGCCAGCTGGAGGCTCCAGGTCACCACTGACCAGGTGTCGATCTGCCAGGGATGAGAGTGCCTCCTCCTCAGCTCCCTGACCTTCATTGCCAGACTCGGAGGCCATTCTTGATGTTTGATGTTCTTGGGAAGCTGGGAGGGATGGTGGGGATAAGTGTGTCCTGTGTTCTTCACGTGAGCCCCCTGTGGGGCTCTCCTTGTGTGGCCACACACACATACACACACTCGTGCTGGAGAGATCCAGGCCACATTACCAGTTCACATGACATCACTCTCTAAGAAGAACCACATGTGTGCATGTGTACCCCACAGGATACCACATTGTGGTCACACGGGTATCCACACCTGTGTTTCTGACTAGGCCAGGACAGCAGGTCACCCATCAGGAAACATGTCCCTGGTATGTCCTCCCTGCCACCCTTGTCCTTAGCCTAGAAAAACTGACCCCAGAGGTGCCAACCCAAGGCCCCACTCCCAAGACTCACCTGAGACCTGAGATCTAAGCAGGCCTGGGGAGGAAAGAACTCTACCGTTGCCATGGTTATCAGCGCCTGGAAGGGGAGGGGCTGTTTGTTACCAGGAGCCTCCTGGGCGACCCCAGACTAAGGGTGAGTTCTGGGCCAACCATGACTGCAGGCAGTGAGAAAGACTGAGTCACTGTCCAGCTAGTTGCCAGGCCCAGAGGACTAGAGAATGCCTGACACTCCTCAACCTGAGAGTGGCAATAGGTGGGTCTTGGGGCTCTGCTTCCCTGAGAGTGTGCCCAGCATGGATAGGGGAGCGGGCAGTGAAGGTAGTAATGTGAAGCCGAGGGAACTGTACCAAACTCTACCCAGCAGCAGTGCTCCACAGCCTCTGTCCTGAGGGTCTGGTGCTCACCCACCTGACCCACAGCTGGAAGCCTCACCCTCTCCCAGACCCTCTCCACACCCTCTGTCTACCACCTGGGCCACCCCAGGAAGCCCTGGGGACATTCCCACAACAATGACAATCACTCCTCTGCCCAAAACAAATGTGAGGTGCTAGACCTGACCCAAGACCCCAAGCACTGCAGCCTTCTCCCCTTCCTCCCCTATATGTGTTCACCGTTCATCATCATACCTTCAATCTTTGGTTACGTAGGACTGCCCCTGCAGGGCACGGCAGGCAGAAGCCCCACACCCTGAGCTGGATCTGAGGGGGGCAGAACAGGCTCCAGACTCCCTGGCTATCCAGCTGGCTTGCGTTCTGCCACGGAGACGGCAGGGATGGGCGGAGGAGCGGCTTAAAGTCCCTTCACAGTGCTGAAGGCCTGGCCTCAGCGTCCAAACCTCGGGAGGACCCGGAACCCCGACGGGAGCTGGAAGCGGTGGGGTTGAGTCTGGGGCAAAGAGCTCCAGGCCTTCTCAGGATGGGCCCCTACCCAACCAAGGTGGCCGTGCCCTCAGTTCCATCGGACCCTAACAGCTCCACCTCCTTCCTGCCGAGGAATCACAGCCCAAGACCACGAAGCGCGCCGGCTATTGCCGCCACGGGCCCTGCATGAGCAGGAGAGGAGGGATCATACCTCTCCGGGCCGGTCAGAGAAAAGAAGCACAGCGCTGGCCCCACCGGCCCTGGAGCTCAGGCGGAGATTAGCGGTCCCAGGCCGTCGCCCCCTCCCCGAGCAGGAACACATCACTCCGGAAGGCTGCAGAAGTCGACCGGGGGCAGGGACAGACACCTGCCCAAGGGGCCGCAGCGGACGGCTGCTACAGACTCACTTCCACGCGGTCGGCTGGCTCGGGACCGGAGGTGTGAGTCCCGACCCTCCCCTTAGGACTCGCCGGCCCGCCCCACCCCCCTCCAGCGCCCTCAGGCCCCGCCCACACCTGGCCGCCTCTGGGGGCGGGGCGCGGCGGCAGGCCAATGGGGCGTGGAGGGGCAGGGCGGAGACAGCCAATGGAGGGAGGCAGGGGCGGGAGACACGCGCAGAGGAGCTAATGGGGGCGCGATGGGGCGGGGCGTGCAGGCTGCGGGCCAATAGGGTCGCGGGACCGGGGCGCGCCGAGGCGCTGGGGGCAGCAGGTTGCGGCGGCGCCGGAGTGCCCCAGGCCCGGAGGTCGGCGAGCGCCCAGGTGAGCCGCGCCGGGTCCCAAAACCTCCTGAACGTCGGGCTGGCTAGCGCGCCAAGTCCTACGGAAGGGCGTTACTGTCGGACTGCGACGGAGGACGTGTGGATCCCTCCGTGCTGGGGTCCGCGCTGTGGGCGGCGGTGCCCGCGGCCGGGCCAATACCTTTGGGGCGGGCGCACCAATGGGGCAGGAGTGGCTTCGCAAGAGGGGGAGGGGCCGAGCAGGGTCGAGCCCCTCTGGGACCGTAGAAGATGCCTTCCAGGTGGGGGTGTCCCCAGCAACGGAGGGCCAGCGTTTGCTCGCCCAGCCCTTGGGTGCCTGGGGACAGCCGCCCGCGGGAGGAGGCAGCGCCCTCGGAGCCGGGTGACGGGGGACAGGAAATCCTGGACGTGGTTAATAATTCGCCATGTTCCGGGAGCGGGGGTGTTGCGAGAGGAGCTGGAGAGGTAGGGCGATCCTTAAAGAGCTGTGGAGGGCTAGACCAGTTCCTGGGCACCCTAGGAATGTGTGGCCTGCAGGTGGGGCTGGGCACAGGAGGGCGGAGTCACGTTGAAGGCCCAAAGCCCTCAACCATTTCTGGGGCCAGATCAGAAGGAGGAAAGGAGGGCTAGGCTGTGACCCTGTACTCTGATCCTGTGGCCTGTACCCTCCTCCCAGGACTGAGATGCTCTTGTGGCTGACAGCCATGGAGTTGAAGGTGTGGGTCGATGGCATCCAGCGTGTGGTGTGCGGAGTCTCAGAGCAAACCACCTGCCAGGAAGTGGTCATCGCCCTAGCTCAAGCAATAGGTGAGTCCTCTGGGGGTTGCCAGACCCCACAGGCGGGGGGTGGGGGGGGTGGTCTGGCTGTCCAGCCCCATGTTCCCCCAAAGTGGGTGGGTCTACTGCTGACCCCTCTTGTCTTCTCGAGCCCTTCAAGCCAAGTGGACGAGGGTAGGGCAATGTAGGCTCATCCTTTCCTCTTCCCTTCAGGCCAGACAGGCCGCTTTGTGCTTGTGCAGCGTCTTAGGGAGAAGGAGCGGCAGCTGCTGCCACAGGAGTGTCCAGTGGGCGCCCAGGCCACCTGCGGACAGTTTGCCAGTGACGTGCAGTTTGTCTTGAGGCGTACAGGGCCTAGTCTGGCTGGGAGACCCTCTTCAGACAGCTGCCCACCCCCAGAGCGCTGTCCAGTTCGTGCCAGCCTCCCCTCAAAGCCACGGGCAGCACCAGGCCATGAGCCCCACAAAGCGCTGACCTGCGGACCAAGGTGTCCCAAGTTGGCATCTGCCCCCTCCTCCCCAGAACCTGTGGCCCCTGTAGTGCCCAAACCAAGCTTTGGGGCAGATCTGCAGGGCCTGGAGCTCAGGGTGCAGAGGAACACGGAGGAGCTCAGCCATGAGGCCTTCTGGGAACAGGAGCTACGTCGGGAGCAGGCTCGAGAGCAAGAGGGGCAGGCCCGTCTGCAGGCACTGAGTGCTGCCACTGCAGAGCATGCTGCCCGGCTACAGGCCCTGGACACCCAGGCCCGCACCCTGGAGGCCAAGCTGCAGCTGGCTGCAGAGGCCCCTGGTCCTCCCTCACCCATGGCATCTGCCGCTGAGCGCCTGCGCCAGGACCTAGCCCTCCAGGAGCGGCACAGTGCAGAAGTGCAAGGCAGCCTTGCCCTGGTGAGCCGGGCACTGGAGGCTGCAGAACGGGCCCTGCAGGTGAGCCAGAGCCAACCCCCTGACTGCTCCCCACCCCCAACACAGGTGGAAATCACACTAGGGGCAGTGCTCTGTGTGGGGCACAAGGGCCATGGAACCCACGGCTGTGCTCCTGAGGGTCCCTTGTGCCCCCAGGCCCAAGCTCAGGAGCTTGAGGAGCTGAACCGGGAGCTCCGCCAGTGCAACCTGCAGCAGTTCATCCAGCAGGCAGGGGCTGCACTGCCGTCACCCCCACGGCCGGACAGGGCCCCTGTACAGGTTGGAGCGGTTCCAGGGGGAGATGGGGAGGTAAGGGCCCAGGCCAACTTCAATCTGATTTGCCCTTCCCACAGGACCTTCTGCCTTCTTTGAGAGAGGAGTCCCTCCCAGGACCTCCCCTGAGTCCTGTCCTTGTGTCTAACCTGAGCCCTGATGGTATGTCTGCTTCATCCCCCCTCCCTCCTCTGGCCTCAGCCTCCTCAGCCTGTGTCCCTCCCACAGTTGCCCCCATGTGGCAGAACTTCTGGAGGTAGCAGCTCCTGCCCCAGAGTGGTGTCCATTGGCATTCCAGCCCCAGGCTCTGGTGATAGACTAGTGAGGACAGCTGAGACAAGCCGGCCTGGACCCTAGGAGGAGAGTCAGCAGTCCCAGAGGCTTCTACCCATGCAGGGGCTGAAGGGTGCTGGAAGGGTCACCCTGGCCCTTGCCAAGTTTGCCAAGCTCTCTGGAGAAGCATGAGTTATAGCCCACTCAGAACTTGCCAGGCCTCAAATTCCACAACTCCTTGTTGGGGCTGGGAGGTTCACAGACAGTGCTCCACCTGGGGATATGTGCTTGCCTGCGGGAGGTGTCTTTCCCTGTATGGACATGTACACAGAAGAACATGTATGCCACCTTCCCTACCACAACATTGAAACCTCAATAAACTGCCCAAAATACAAAATAGCTTGCATGTGTGGTGAGGCTGAGCTGAGCAGGGTCTGCGGAGTCTAGAACTTGAGGAATCCATACCAGGGCTACTGGGGACGGCCCCAAGCTGCCTGGATCTGGTCACAGCTGGGGCTCCTGGGAATGGCATCACTCAGGGACCAATTCTTAGTAAGGTCCATAGCTGAGGTTTGTAAGACCCCACATTCTGCTTTGCCCCCACCCTCCTTGGCAGCTCCCCTTTGACAGCCCCAACTTGATGGGGTCTTCTGGTTGCTGTCTGGGCCCCTCTTCCGCCTGGCTCCCCCTCATTTGGCCTGTGCCCCACCAGGAGCAGGAACTGAGGATGCCAGGACGAGCTAGACCCGCCTGTCAGGTTTACTGAGAGCTGAGTGCTCATGGGGGCGGGTCCTGGACTCCTAGGTCAGCCAGGCCCAGGGAGCTTTACCTGGTGCAGCCCCAGGGAGGGTGTGGGCACCAGTGAGCAGGGGCTGCCTCTTCCCCACCAGGTGGGTGTAAAGCCTTTGCTGTGAGCCTGCAGCTTTGATATTGGTATAGGATGGCACCCACATCCCAGCCTAACCCCTGCCTGGGCCCTTGGGCTGCCTGTTGCCTCTCCTGCAGAGCCCAGGTCCTTAGGCTAGGCCACATTCTCCCAGTTCCTAGGGCCATGGCTGGAGGTGGAGAAATCTTTGTGATGAGCAATGCCTAGGGGTGCTGATGCCCCAGTGTAACCTGGAAATGAGCAATGCCTGGGGGTGCTGATGCCCCAGTGTAACCTGGGAGAAAGAAGATGGGGACATCCTAGATCATGGAGGACCTTGTGCTGGGTTTGAAGGGGTAGACAAGTTTGGAATGTACTTGGTTTTCTCTTAGGGTGGCCCCTCAGCTGGATCTGGTACTCCCATTTCTTCTGGGGCAGACTATACAGGACATGAAGTCCTGAGCTGAGGAAACAAGGAAGCCACCCTTGGGTAGCAGGAGAGGCACTCCTCAGAAGCCAAGGTGACCAAGGCCCTGCTGCTGTGGGGAGTAACTAGAGCCATTTCCTGACTCAGGAAGGGAAAAGGACATGGGAAAGGCCAGGCAGGAGAGGCTGGAATCCTCAGTCCAACCCCACTCCTGTCCATACTCCTGCCTAAGCCCACTGCCTGGATCACAGTTACCTGCCTAGGAAGTGATTGGAGGCCTGGACCTGCATGACCTGTGGCCCCAGATGGGGCAGAGCACTGAGTTACATGGCCTGGAGTGCAAAGGCCAATGAGGCTGCGTGTACCCTTGGTGGGGGGCTTAGGGTCTGAGAGACCTGCTTCCCCATTCCCTTGCACTCAGCAGAGCTGGCTATACCTTTGGGGGCACCAGCCTAACCCCCTTCATGGGCTTATCTTCCAAAATAAGTATCCAGGGGGCCATGCCAGATGCCATACAGAGACCATGCCACACACGGGCAGGGCCTCCCCAGAGTCATAAGTGCCCCAAGGCAGAGCAGGCACAAAGTTTGCAGAGCACATGCCCCCTCTTCCTGCATCTGTTTTCAAGGAACACCTGTTCCTCCTGAAGCCACCACCTGTGCCCCTGGTCTGCTGCTGCCAGTGCTGAAGAAATTAACAAGCCCTCTTCTCCACTAAAAAAGGGGTCCCCAAACAGCCACTGTGCTCTGGAGTAGGGAAGGGGACAGAGCCTTCCTTCTCCATGGCTGAACCAGGTGAGCAAACTCTCATAGTTTGGAAAAGTTGCCACAGTGCTTCAAATCACTGAACAAACCTTTGAGTTGCTGGAAAGTTTATTCTGAGTTTTAAGCTATACTTTGAAAACAATGCTGTATGCTGCACTGAAGTAAGGAAGGGCTGAGCTCCCAAAATATCTACTTCCACTGCAGGGCAGGGTCAAGCCAGGACAGGCCATCTTCACAGACACAGCTGAGGCAGAACTCTACCTGGTATATGGGGTCAGAGGGCAGAGCCAGGCCCTGCTGAGAGCTGGCCTCTTGTTGGACCAGCTGCCTCACAGTTGTCTCTGCAGGCCACACTCAGCCTTCCCTCACCTGCCCAGCCTCAGTCCACTGTGGTGACAGAGATCTGTACA